TGACAAAATTTACTAATTCTTAATCAACTTATAATGTATATATAATTATAATTTAATCTCAATAATGATACAATTGCATCGATATATCAATACATTTTCATCGATATAGTACCAGTACACGCACTTAGCGCACAGTGGCCAATCGCATTAATGGCAATCGATTATTAGCGACTGTCATTATCGACAAGCTGTCTGGCAGAAGAAAAAGAGAAGATTGCAGCAGAAGCGGAATAGATTTATTGATTTTAATATTCAAGTTAATAAAACTAACCAAGTGCTGAAATTAATTGCGAGAAACCTGCAAAATGGAAGCGCTGGTGAATTACAGCAGCGAAGATGAGCACGAGGAGGATTCCGGATACGAGATACGGGTAAATACACCAAATCAAAATTTTTAAGCAACAAAAAAAAAAAAAAAAAAAACCAAATGTCAGAGTATTTTTTTGTGTATACATTTCGCCGAGGCGTGCAAGCCTCTATGCATATACGTGTGTGTGTGTGTGCATGTGTATGCTGCGTGCATGTATGTTTGTGCGTACTATCCACATCTATATATATTTTTTAATATAAGCCGAAAACTGTGTTGAAATATGTAGCTACGTATGGCGGGTAATCCACAACACAAACCAAATTCAAATGAAATGAAATCAAAACAAATAAAAAAAATCTCTCCTGTCCCGCTCCAAGCAACCCCACAAAATCAGCCTCTTTTATTGTAGTTGTGCCTAGTGCTTTAGTTGAATAATGCGAATTTGCTGTTTCTGAATAGTTGAACCATTCCCATAGGCACCACCACAAACACCAACACCACCGCCATCAGCAGCTGCTAACCGAAAGCGCAGCTCGCCGCCCGCACATGCATCAGCTGCGGCTGCAACTCCAACCATGGAAGCTGAGGCATCAAAAACTGCAGCAGCAGTTACAGCATCTGCATTGAGTGCTGTAAAGCAGCACAAGTCGAAAAACAAAAGCAGTGAGCGCCAGTTGCGACGCCAGCGTCGACGTTCGAGCAGTCAGAGCGCAAGCAGCGACAGCGACAATAGCGTCGACAACGCCGATGACAGCAAAGACAAATCGAAGAAACATCTGGCAACGCTGTCGCCAACAACAGCAATGTCCACAACAACCGCAGCCAGCCCAAAGACGGCTAAAGATCATCAAGTGGCTGCGACCGGGCGACACAGCCATCATCATCATCGTCATCATCATCACAAAAGTCGCAGCAGTCGCCACAACAACAACAACAATGACGAGGTAAACTTTTGTTCTTACTACCACATAGAGATAACTAGCTCAAGTATGCCTTACATAAATACTTAATATTTGATGGAATTTTATGGAATCTGCCAAAAATTTTGGTTGCATCAATTCCTTGTCAGCAAGTTGAATATTTTGATATTGCAAAAGTCAAGGGGAAAGTGAGAGGTTAGTTAAAAAAGTATATGGTATATGACTTCTAGAGCTCTTGTATACAGTTTAATGTTAACTAGACATATTCATAATTGTTATAGAATTACCAGAAAGTCCAAGCGAGGGAATCCGTTGTATTCTAAATAATACATCAATAAGATATATGCCACATCTTAAGCTTAGAAATCTACATTTCTAACTATATAAGGCTTATATGAATATACCATTTAGAGTTAATTGTCTTAACAAAAACAACTTTTGTGCAGCAAATCCCATTCGATATGTGCTCGAGTTTCTTATGCCTTGGGCATTAGTTCCCATTCTCTTAGTTCATAGACTCGATCATATTATATAAAATTTCACACTAATTTTGCGTCAAGCTTAATACTCGACCCTCAGTCTACCTTAACTTATCGATTTCACTTAGCCAACTTGCAGAGTCAACAACAAATTATTGCCATCAAATATAATCGCAAATAGTATATAAAGCATGAAACATAGTTTTAAGTATCTATGTGAGGCACATAGTTCATAATTTAATTTGTTTCAATTTTCAAATGCATCAATTGTACGTTCCTTTTCTGTATTTAATCCTGGTTTATACGTTATATTTTTAGCCGAGAGCTTTGATTTTTATGGTTTATAGTCCACATTCAAATTTCCTATCTTATCTGATGTCTAGTTTGAAATGTCTGCTTCATTTAAACTCTCCCATCTCCTCTACATATCTAATATATATATTTCTGTGTTTTTATGTATGTGATATGGTTTTTTGGTTGGTGTTGGAGTCCAGGTTGTTGTAACAACTCTTTTAGTGTCTATATATACATATATATATAATTTTCCGATTCTAATTTCTATTTCTGTGTTTTTATGTATGTGATATGGTTTTTTGGTTGGTGTTGGAGTCCAGGTTGTTGTAACAACTCTTTTAGTGTGTATATATACATATATATATAATTTTTTATTATTATTTTTGTGAATTTTTTGTTTTTTCTTCGCTTTAAATTTATAACACATGCACTGCGATTGTGCAATTTGCAAGCTGTCTTCCCGCTTTTTGATATTTTCGTCGATTTTTCTGTTTATTTTTTGGCGAAAGTTCTTTTTAATTCTGTATTCTGATCTTTTTGGCAAATGGGCAGCAATAAATTGTATTTACTTTGAGCGGGGGCGACACAGAGGGACCTCAGTCTAGCCAGCAATACCTTGAAGGTGTGTGCATTAGTAATGAGTATGACTTCAGCGACCGATCAAATAGCTCGTAAAATGCTTGCATAGTTTCCGGTACAAATGACTGCCCCAAGGGGGTAGGAGAGGGGGGCAGACAGCAAAGAGACTGAGACGACGAGACGTTGAGACGTTCAGAAATGCCAATTGAGTTCTGAGCATGCAAGTTCAATGCACTGCAGGCAGCCAACTCAGTTGCGGGAGCAGCCATTGTAATGCCAATTGGGCATTAAACGGAGCCAACTAATGTCCGTCTGTTCCCGCAGGCTGTCCCCTGTCCCACTCCCTGTCCCCCTCTCCCTCTCTCTCTCCATCTCTGTCGCGCCACAGGACCACAATGTCGTCAATGAATAAGTTTAGTGCACGCAGCGACAACTAAATGGGTGTAATGGAAATAATGTCGACGCAGTCATTGAACGAAATACCAAAACCACAATGCCCCACACCCGGACCCACTGTTGACTTGTAATATCTCTGGTGGCATACAAAGCTGTCAGCCCCAACCATTAATATCTGGCTATCTGGGCAGCAACGAAAGACAAACGAAGTAAATTTATAATGTGGCACACACACCTTCCTCAAGCAGACAGCTAAAGTCTCCGACTTGACACACAACTGGGCCCAGTGGCCCAAAAGGAGAAAAAGGAGGGCCTCGTTAGGTTGGGCTGTGCTGTGTGTCTTAAAGGAAGAGCACAACAAATGCTTGCAAAATATTATTCTTGTTCTTGAATATTTCTCTTGCTAAAGTGAAAGACAACTGGCTTTAAGTGGTGTATTCCAATAGGAGAATATTTAGTGGTCTATGTGCGAGTCATCCTTGATCCAGTCCAGACAAGTTGCGACTCGGGCCAAGCCATTTGTAGTTGGAGCAGAAAGAGYTGACACCAGTTCAAGTTGATTTCTCGTTGCTTTGCCGGCAAAGAGCTCACGCCACGCCTATTGTCACAATGGTGCTGCATTTCAACGAGAGCCAACCAATGAGAAGTCAGGCACTAGCCAGAGGCGATGGCCAGCTGGCAGAGCAATTTTCTTGATGTGGCCGATATCACAGGTTGGTTGATTGAAGTCATATCGTTGCTAAGCGCTCGACTCTATGGTCCGGATGCAGCACAAATTGCGGACTCAGCGCCAGCTGGTAAAGCTTAGCCGTGTTGAGTACTGGAGGCACTGCAGTTAACTCTGAGAAGCTTGAAATAGGCTCATCATTAAGTTGACTCTGCGAATCTTTACCCAACTATCCATTGAGCTACAGCTAACATTCACTGCGTCCCATTCTTGGAAGGCTAAATTAGCTATGGTCAGAGCAAAGACTATAAGTAATTTCGTATCATATGTTGGTCGTTTGTTTTCTCTTATTATTTACTCTAAATGTCTCCTCTAATTATTTCCTCTAAGTCTCTCCTCCAAGTCTTTAATGCTTAGCTGAACGACCACACACTTCACTTTACTCTACTGCACCCTACGACTGGTCTGTATGACTGAAGGAATGCTACAGCTGCTGCCCTTTATATAGGGCAAGTTTCACTCAGACCCGAAGGTGCTCTCAAATGTTGAGCTCGGCACTAGGTAGAGATCGTTGCAACCGAGCTTTAAGTGACCAATGGGAGCACTCTCTGCTGCTCCCAGTATTCTAGCTTCGTTTTACTTGAATATAAACACCAAATGAATACTGCTGCATACATAGAAACAAATTAAACGATCGTCTATAGAGCTTCTTCATACCGTGCTTCTCTTAGGCAGACAGACCGAGAGACAAACTGTGTGATAGACAGTGGGACAGATTTACAAACAAATATATGATATATTGGTGTTGGCCACGCATACTTAAATCGATTTACCTCATTATACAATATATAAATGAACATTGAACATGCTAAACAGCTTATGTACATTAATATTACTAATTATTAGATGGCAGAGACAGTAATTTCTCCTTCTGTTCTTCTATTCTATGGTTCTCTTAAGGACTAAAATCCTGCATACTCAACCTCAATCTCTTACACTCCATACTCATTTTCAATGGATTTATTATTAATTGGCTACACATATTTCAAAGAGGCTCGATCTAGCTTGAAATAGGCTAAGCAGGCAGCACTGCTGATGGACGTTCATGTGCTGTTTCTTGTAAGCAGGAAAGGAGCGAGGAATTATTAACATATGTATGAGTCCCTCTAAGGGCTCAGGGGATCACGTAGTAGAGCAGTCTCGACTAGAGCTTTTTTACTTCTTTTATAAAATTGTATTTTTTAAAAAGTCTTGCATATTTTAGGTAATTTGTCTCGCCTCTTTGCTACATATCAACTGCCTTGTTTATTATGCTGTGGACTGCGACAGCATGACAGCAGAACATTTTCGGGAATATTCCCGCTTTCTGAATTCGTATCTGCATATTGGGCACAAGATAATATTTGTTATACGCAAACGACTTCCTCAATGAAATTAAATCGACCAGACACTTGTACCTTTATGTCTTTCCCTCTCTCTCGGCTCACGATTCCCCAATTATTATTGCTCGACTTACGGGACGTTTAATTGTATATACTTAAGTGTTGTGGCTGCTGAGGTGTGATGAAATCATATATTGGGGCCACAACAACAAACAACAGAAAAAAATGGAAATTAAATATCATTACAGATTGTTTAACTTTGTTCTGTTTATGTGGAACTTGCTTGGTCCTTGACTGGGTAAATATTAATAATAAATAATTATGGCCAACTCCCATTTTGAGTATGTTTTATGCGCCCAATGCAAGCTTGATTGATTACAGATGATTGATGACACACATTACCACATTCCATATTTATAAGCCAATTTCGTTTATTCATAGAGCTGCGCTAATTGGCGTTGATATTTCTAGTTTGCAGAGATGCGACAAAATGTTCATTTAGTTCAATTGGCAAATCGGAAATTTTATATGACGCGCTCTGTTGGCCATTTTCAATCTGAAATTGTAATTGCTGTCCAAACCCAAATAAAAAAATAAAAAAAACAGGAATGGGAATGGGGTCTGTTGCGCGATGTGCTTTCGCTTTCAGCGTACATGTCACAGTGTGCACGAATGACACACGCAGAGTTGCCAGAGGGGGAGGGGCAGGAGGAGTAGGTAAGGCTAACACAGCGATTTGTTTGCCATGCAAACATTTTTCGTGTATTTCCAAGCGCCAAAAGCATGTCAAGGGAGCAAAAGCAACGTCAAATGTCAGCGACAACGGCAAGTGACAAGCAGGCTACAGTTTAACTCGTGGAAACTTTAATGCGTTAAGTCAACACACACACACAGGCGCACGCATACGTACTGTTATCGAAAGTTTTCTATATTTTACCCCCTCCCTCCCTTTCAAGTTGTTAGCGTGCCCTAGTTTTTAATCGATTTCAATTACTAAACGTATTTTCTTTAACATTTCAATTAACTTTGTTAAAGCGGAGAAGAAAAATAAAGAGCTAAATCCTTCAGCAGCCTCTCACATGCACACACACTCTCTCTTTCTCCCTAGGTAGACTCTAGGTAAGGTTCATGCGCCTATTTGCTGAGCTGAGTGGCTCTTCACTCTAGAGCTCTGCAGCTATATTTGAAGCTTGAGTCTTCTTCTTCTTCTTAGTCAACATTGAATTGAAGATGAATAGAGCAGCTTGGGCTATTTCTGGTGTCAATTAAAAGGATATATAGCTGAGCTGTATTTATTAGTTTGTTGTTCTCACCTGCCAGTGCAACATTTGTGTACTTGAAATGTTTGCCGCCAGCCGAATGTTGTTTTTGTGTTGTGTTTTCTAGAAATTAACATAAAAATG